AGGATTTTGTGGTATACTGCGACGCGTCTATTTCGGGTTTAGGCGCGGTTTTGATGCAGAGAGGGCACGTTATTGCCTACGCTTCGAGGCAGTTGAAGCCTCACGAGGCGAATTACCCAACACATGATTTGGAGTTGGGGGCCGTTTGTATTCGCCCTCAAGATTTGGCGTCATTACCTCTATGGGGTTCGTTGTACCATTTACACGGACCACAAGACCCTGAGGTATCTCATGGATCAGCTAAATCTGAACATGAGGCAGCGTTGGTGGTTGGACGTGGTGAAGGATTATGATTGTGAAATCCTCTACCACCCGGGGAAGGCCAACGTGGTGGCCGATGCGCTTAGCCGCAAGGCGGCGCCGATCAGAGATATCTGCATGCGGATGACAATAGTGACCTCGTTATTAGAGCAGATCCGAGAGGCCAGCAGGAGGCTATGAAGGAGGAACATCGGAAGAGTGAGCGTATAGTGGGTCAGGTTTCCTCCTTCGACTATGACAGCAGGGGATTATTGACATTACACCGCAGGGTGTGGGTTCCATACCTCGGAGGCGTGCGCCAGGTTCTGATGGAGGAGGCGCACAAATCCCGATTCTCCATTCATCCCGGGGCGACAAAGATGTATAGGGATCTTCGTCTTGATTATTGGTGGCCCTGCCTGAAGCGAGATGTAGCATGGTATGTGGAGCGGTGCTTGACCTGCAGGAAGGTCAAGGTCGAGCACCAGAGGCCACACGGCAAGATGCAGCCGTTGGATATTCCCCTGTGAAAGTGGGAAGATATTACTATGGATTTCATCACCAAGCTTCCCAGGACCGCGCGGGGAGTGGATTCCATATGGGTCATCGTGGATCGGTTGACCAAGAGTGCCCATTTTATACCGATCCAGGAGAGCATATCGGCCGAAAAGCTGGCCGATATTTATATTCGAGAAGTGGTGGCTCGTCACGGGGTGCCGGTCTCCGTGATTTCTGACAGGGATGTTCGGTTCACTTCCAGATTTTGGAAGAAATTCCACGACGAGTTGGGTACTCGTCTGCATTTCAGCACCACCTTTCACCCGCAGACAAATGGTCAGAGCGAGCGGACCATCCAGACTCTGGAGGATATGTTGCGAGCATGCGTGTTAGACTTCGGAGGTAGTTGGGATACCTACCTTCCATTGGTTGAGTTCTCCTACAACAACAGCTACCACGCGAGTATTGATCGTCCTCCCTTTGAGATGTTATACGGGGGTGCAGGACCCCGATATGTTGGGGGTGAGGTTGGCCAAAGGGTCATGGGTAGCACCGAAGTGGTGCTCAAGACGACAGAGAAGATTCAGCAGGTCCGGAGGAGGCTTCAGACTGCTCAGAGTCGGCAGAAAAGTTATGCCGATAAGCGTCGATCAGACCTGGAGTTCCAGGTCGGGGATATGGTTCTCCTGAAAGTGTCGCCTTGGAAAGGCGTCATTCGATTCAGGAAGCGGGGCAAGTTGGGCCCAAGGTACATTGGACCGTTCAGGGTCGTAGCCTGGGTGGGCAAGGTGGCGTACAGGCTGGATCTGTCAGCCGAACTCAGTCAGATCCACAGCACTTTCCACGTCTCCCAGCTGCGGAAGTGCCTGGTGGACGAATCAGCAGTGGTACCCTTGGAGGACATTCAGGTTGATGACAGCCTGAATTACATCAAGCGGCCTGTAGCGATCCTTGACCGGAAGTCGAAGGATCTGAGGAACAAAAGAGTGGAACTCGTGAAGGTTCAATGGCAGCACCGGAAGGGGTCGGAGTGGACTTGGGAGCCTATGGACGAGATGATGGAGCATTACCCCGAGATGTTTCAGGAACGAGCAGCAGACTTCGAGGACGAAGTCTAAAATAAGTGGGGGAGATTTGTAGCACCTGGTTCTTGGTACGTATTCTTTTTAGTAGTTCTTTAAATATTTTGCATTTTTGGCCTTGGACTCGGCGAGTTGAAGGACCAACTCGCCGAGTAGAAGCGAGAGGGGACGCGAGACTTAAGCGATGGACTCGGCGAGTCGGGTCCCGGACTCGGCGAGTAGACCCTGTCTGGACAAAAACCCTAATCTGAGGGTTTGCACCCTATTTAAACACTTTATCTCGGCCTCCTTCGTCCCATTTGCTCCCAGAAGACCCCCATAGCAAACCCTATCCGTTATTGAAGCAATCTAAGGCATTTGGAGTGACTTTGGTGCTTTTGTGATCCAAGGAGGGAAGGAAAAGCTTGAAGGAACAAGAGGAGGCTAAAGGGATCCGAGTTTGTGCACCATTTTCAGCTCATTGAAGGTAAAAGGTCTGTACCTTGCTCTTCCATTTGATAGATCCCATTTTGTGAAATTTTAGGGCTTTTCTAAGCCATTTTGGTCACCAACCATGATTGCAAGCATGGTTAGGGGTTGAAGTTTCAGATCTAGGTCCTTGGAGGGGTTACAAGGCAGAAAGGAGTGGCTTTTGGCACTCAAGGAAGGCCCCATGCATTGTAGGAGCCATTTTAGGGCCTTTAGGCTCAAAAGTCCCATGCATGCACGTAAAGTTCGTAACTTTACGTGCCAGAACGGTCCTAGGAGCCTAGATCTACCTTTTGGACAAGTGTTGTACACCAGAAATCGAGAAAATGAGACTTGGACATACTCGACTCGGCGAGTCGTTCTTGGGACTCGGCGAGTCCGAGGCTTGACTCCCTTTTCTGTTTTGGGTCAAGGACCCAGTTGAGTGTGGAAAGGTTTCAGGGAGGTCTCGGGGAGTGACCCAACGTTCTGGACTAAGCCATGGTTCTGGAATTCATGGGACTCGGCGAGTGCATGAACAGACTCGGCGAGTCCAAGGCAATCTTCTTAAGATTGAAGATGAACTCGACGAGTTGTTCATACAACTCGGCGAGTCAAGGACAGGACCTGTTCATCAGTTGAAGATGAACTCGACGAGTTGTTCATACAACTCGGCGAGTCGGATGAAGATTCAATAGATGTTCAATTAGAAGGAAAACTCGTCGAGTCATCGCCTAACTCGACGAGTAGAGACAAGTATAAGGTCAAATAGAAGGATAGGGACTCGGCGGGTTGGCGAACCAACTCGGCGAGTCAGGTCAACTGGAAGTTGACTTTGACTTTGACTTTGACTTGGTCAGGGGTAAAATGGTCATTTTACCCTAAAAGCAGTTGGCAGTGTATGACTAAGTGTTTTGTGGAAATTATAGCCGGAGGATTTCCGGAGCAGCAGCAGTAGCAGTCAGAGGATTTCCCGCACAGATCAGCAGCTACTACGAGGTGAGTTACCTTCCAGTAGCGGTGGGTCTACGACCACAATGCCGGCCCACCAGTAGGAGTTGTATGTTAGGTGATTATCTTTGTGATATCATCTAGTTTTGCTACTACCTGATATGTTTATATGCTGGCATGCTATGTTATATGTGATAGTGGTAGTAGGAGGGGAATAGCCCCAAGTTCGGTTGTTAGGACCACGTGTAGGTCAGCACCCCAGAATGGCTTGACATGGGCAGGTCAGCACCCCAGAATGGCTTGACACGGGTAGGTCGGTACCCCAGAATGGTCGTATCGGGTAGGTTGGGCACCCCAGAATTGCCCGGCAGTATGTATGTTATGTGTTTGTATGGTATGTGGTATAATGGGGGAACTCACTAAGCTTCGTGCTTACAGTTACAGTTTTGTTTTCAGGTACCTCTTCATCGAAGGGGAAGGAGCTGGCGCGGTAGCGGCACATCATACACGCACAATGTTTTCCGCACCATGAGTTATTCTGGGATTTTGTACTCTGACATTATGGTTGTTTTTATGTTTTGGTTTTCAGACACGAAATATGTTTATGAAATGATATGATCAAACGATGTTTATTCACAAATGTTTTCCAAAGTATTGATTTAAAAATGAAATTTTTGGACGTGAAATTTGGGATGTTACAATAATAGTTTAGATAATTATATTGAATCAATATGTTTTCAAAAAAACTAATAGTATAGATAGTTGTAATGAATTGTTTTCAAAAAAACTCGTAAGACCATCTCCAATCCATTTATATTTTTTCCCTCAAAAATGGAGTAAAAAATGAGGTTAATAGTGTTTTATCTTCAATCCTACTCTATTTTTTACCCTATTTTTACCCCCAAAAAGTATATTTCATTCTTCTAACTTATATAAATTGTCAAACACACCCCTTCTATTAATTTGATTTTAACAAATATATGATCTATATTTTTTTCATTACAATAATATAAAATAAATAAGATTATATTTATAACACTTAATTATAAGATTTTGTAAAATACGCTATCGTGTTTTAAAATTTCAATATGTATTTAGATTTTAATATGAATTTGATAAACAAAAAACAAACTTAATATTTATAATTAATTAATATAATTTAATATATAACACAATATTATAAGTATTAAATATTACATTTAAATTATAATTAGTAGATAAAAAACCAAAAATGTATAAATATATAAAAAGAGTGACTAAAATCGACAACTCAAACTTCATCTCAAATATGGTGTTATACTATTTCATTTCCCTCAAAATAGGAGAATAAATGGGGTATGGTTGGAGAGAAATGACGGAAAAATAAAAAAAATAATGGAAAATGAAAGTGAGTTGAAGATGCTCCACATTTTTGTAAAGGGCAAAAAATAGAAAATAAACACTAGTTATAAAAAGATGTGAGATACTTGAAAAACCAGCATGGGTATCTTAGTGTGATTTGCAATTTGCAACGAAGACTTCATCTACTCGAGTCATGGCTATGCGGCTATGTGGCTATATGGACCACTCTATTGAATAAATCCAAAATTTCGATGGGAGAGAAGAACTCCGACTTGTCAATTTTCTCATTTTAAATGACTATGAAAATTTTACCATTTTATTCATTTTTGGTAAATACGATATTCATTTTTCAGAATCAAAGCTTTATATATATGGGCTCAGCTTCTCTTCCATCTGGATCACTGTTTTGTTCACACCACCACCTCTTTCTTAACCGGAGACATGAAACTCCCTACATGGCTATGGATATTCTCCGACGACAAAACACCCACGCCACCACCATCTCAACTCCTACTATTCTCCGACGACACAACCACCATCACTTCAAACACAACCGCAACCACCACAATCACCAGTTGCAGCCTCCACAACAACCACTCATCCCCTCGAACCCTAGCCTTAACCATCTCCCACCTCCGCCTCACATCCCTCCAACCTCTCCCGACCCCCCACGTCAACTTCCTCGCCGTCCATAACCACCACCTTTACGCAGCCACCGGGAACCTCATCCACGTAATAGACACCACATCTTTGGCGTTAATCGACACCTTCAGTGTCGCCGGATCTTCGTCGGGCTCCGTTAAGTCCATTACTTTCAGCAACGGAAGCATTTTCACTGCTCATCAGGACAACAAGATCCGAGTATGGAAATTAACGCAGAACAAACGGCACAAACACATCGCAACACTTCCGACGTTCGAAGATCGGTTGCGCCATTCGGTTTTACCAAAGAATTACGTCAATGTGAGACGTCACCGGAAAAAACTATGGGTCGAGCACCACGACGCCGTTTCTGGACTGGCGTTGATCACCGATCAGTTAATGTGCTCGGTTTCTTGGGACAAATACTTGAAGATTTGGAGGACATCGGATTTGCGATGTGTGGAGAGTATAAAAGCACACGACGACGCCATCAATGCGGTGGTGGTGGCGGCGGATGGAACGATATTCACCGGCTCCGCCGACCGCCGGATTAAAATCTGGGGAAAAGCGGTGAGGAAGTATGGGCTGACTGCCACGTTGGAAAAGCACAAGTCATCTGTGAATGCGTTGGCACTAAACGACGACGGATCGGTGTTATTTTCGGGTGCAAGTGACCGATTGATTTTAGTGTGGGACAAGGAACACGGTAGCAATCGTATGGTGCTGACGAGCACATTACGTGGACACTCTAATGCAATACTTTGTTTGATCAACGTTTCTGATTTATTGTTCAGTGGGTCTGCTGATCGAACGGTCAGGATTTGGCAACGTGGATACAATGGTAAATTTTATTGCTTGAAAGTGTTGGACGGGTATGAAAAACCCGTCCGATCACTGGTGTCGGATTCTGCAAAAACTACAAACGTAAGAGTGTTTAGTGAAAGCTTTGATGGATGTATGAGAATGTTGACTATTGAGGGTTTGATTCTTTCGAATTATATGTCTAATAAAAAATGATTGTTTTTTTAATTGGTTATAAAGGTATTAACCGAAGTGTATGTAATGACAGATTATTTATCTTTTGTACAAAGTTGTAACATGCAATAATTAAATGTGTAATTAACTTTATAATAAATGCTTGATACATTGTATTACTAGGGTCGTACCCCAAAACTAAAAAAAGAGAAAAGAAACGTGACTTGATTTGAATAAAGAATTGGATTAATTAGAGATAATGACAAATTACACCTTTGCTTAATCAATTAAGTTGATTTTCCCCGATTTCAACCTTTAGCAAGACCACTTCCATTAGTTAATTGTAATTATAATTATAATATTTATTAAGATGTTTCAGTAGTCATAAATGAATCTTTCATCTTTTGGTTTATTCTCATTCAAATAATACACTATGGAGAGTATATCATATTTTATTTTCAACTTGTTTGTGCAAGAAAATATGATATTGAGTATTTTATAAGTAAAGTGGATTACGAATCTTGACGATGAATGATAATGAAGTGAAGTTTTATTGGATAGCTTTTTATTTTCAGGGTTAGTGTATAAAAGCCAAGATTTTAAAAAAGGCAAGATTTTAAAAAAGCTTTAGTGATATGTGATATGACTCTCTCAAAAGACGATTGGTTTTGGTTGTTGACTGATCAATGTGATTCTCGGTTGCTTTAACCCGTGTTTTTTGTTGATAAACAAATTCTTGACTTTTTTGATATTCCGACATGTTGGAATAGGTTGATGTCCGTTAAAGTTAATATTATGGTGTGTCACTTGATATGAAACAAGTTTTCCTTCTAGAGTTAACCTTGTACGTAGAGACCTAGATAGATATTCCCTTGGCTCTTTGTCCGTTTTGTGAAGCGAACATTGAGATTGTTAGTCACTTGTTTTTTTTTTCTTTTTGATGTATCATCACTTCTGAGTTGACATGTTAGATTGAGAGATGGTGGGGCGTGAACGGTTCCATGGCTACCTCATATGAGGAATGGTTGTTTTGGATCCCTTCCGTGCGCTTGCAGTCCGCCTTGAAATCCTACTTGGAAGCTACTTTCTACGCTTTGTGGTGGTTTATATGGGTTTATAGAAACTCCATTGTTTTCGGTAAAAGTAGTTAGAAAAAAATAGTTGCTTGGTAACTCGTTACCCAATCGTTTTCATGGGTTAACCATAGGATAGGAGAATTTCAAAATTAATTGGGTATGTTGCTTCGTGATCATTTGCAAACAGTTCCTATGATATAATTGGTTTGTTTAACTTCTTGCCAAATAAGTTGTTCTATATTCAAAAATTCAATATCATGGTAAAATGATCCCAAAAGGAAACGAATTACATGATACAAAATAACATCAAAACATAACCATTCTCATTAAAAAAAAAAAAAAAAGATATGGTTCTGATATTCAAATTGTTATTTTCTACATTATAGGAATTAATAAAAAATAAGAAAGAAATATGAAAACTGGATTCAATTCCATCTTATTAGAATAAGTCTACCAATGAAAGAAACTATTCTATTTGATTGAAGTTGGAGCTTAGAATAACCCCAATTGATTGATTATGAAATAAAGAAGAAAAATGATCGAATAATCATTGTATGATGAAAATATGATAGTCGCCTCTTCTTTGGTGTTGTGTACTTAGGGGGTATACACTTTAGAAAAATCGGATTTAACTGATCATTCTTGTTAAGGATACATCATAAGGGTTTATCAGAGTTTCATAGGAGTTTCACCCATTTAGCGAGTTTCGGGTGGGGTAGGGTAGGTGGGGCCCATATATTTAAGAGTAAGTTATAATTTCGGTCCACTTGGTTGACATGAATATGTAGGTTTAGTCCTAGTTTTTTAAAGTTGACACTAGTGGTCCTCATGGGTGGGAAATCTAGCAATTGTGGTCCATAAGACAGTTATCGTTAGTCTCATTCGGTTACATGCCTGTGAAATGACAACATTACCCTTAATTTTGTCATTTTTTTAAATTTTGTAGTTTCTTATTATTATATTTTTTAAATATAATTAAACAAATGTCAATCACCACCACCATTTCCACCACCACAACCACTATAAATCACTATGTGCAAGCTTAAAACTTTATTACAATAGAGCATATAATAGACAAAAACCAGAAATGGATCACCACCTATATCACTACCTTAAATGGAACAAAAACCATATTGATAGATTGGTGCATATGCGAGACAAAGGGGGGAGGGGGAGAGAAAACTTATTGTGGGAGATGAAAGGGATGATGATTGCGTCAGACAGAGATGGAGATGAAAATGGTAGTGTCACTGACTATCGACAACAAATTAGTGGTTGCAAGCGAGGCGTTGTGTGGAAGAGGAGACGAGTAATTGTGAAGATAGAGAAAGTGTGGAGGTCGGCGATGGCGGTGGCAGCGATTAATCAAACATATACCGACATAGAAAATGAGAGAGATCTTAATGGCTGAATTGAATCGTGGATTTATGAGAAGATGGTATGGGGTAATCCGATCTCCATAGAGGCTTTTAGGGGTTTTATTTGTTTTGGTCTTTATTTACATATTTATTTACATATTAGGTTCCCATGGTTGAAAGGTTTTTATTGTTCAAGGGTAAAAATGTCATTTCATAGACGATTAAAGGAGGTGAGCTGACGATAACTGATGTAAGGACTAAACCGAAGGGTATGCCGGCCATGAGACCACTAATGTCAAATTTTGAAAAATAGGACTTAACCTGCAGTTTCGTGTCAACCAAAGGTACCAAAGTTGTAATTTGCTCTATATTTTATTTTAAGAGTACAGATGGGCTCCATTTTCGGTTAAACCAATCGGCGGGACGCGGGTTTTGTTTACGGCCGCCGGTTTCCGGAGGTAGTAGATGTATGGTCATTAAACAGGTCCTATAATTACGCTGCAGATTCCTGATTCTTTCTTCATTCTTCATGTATCATGCACGCAAATTTTGGGTAACCATTTTATATTTTTATTAAGAGAGTTGACAAAATTCACAGGGTCAAACTATGTAAATTAATTTAGTGCTTTGAAATGGGTTGGATTGACTGATACATTTTTTTCCAATTTTTTTTTTTTATAAATAATCAATCTTCTAAAGTTCTAAATACCATTATAAACTATATTATTACAATAACAACAAATAAATTTTGAATAATATACACATTATACTCACTGCGCATCCATGTGTCTCGAATTCTGGATTATCAAGTGCACATCAAATTTCATCTTTATTAGTCTGGATATTTTGCTCACCAGTCTAATAGTATACAATCCCATATTTTTAAACACGAAATAAGTCTCGTAATGCACATCAATGCTTAAATCCCGTATAATGCGTAATAATCCTAGGTTTATTTTGAAATAAAAATTTGTGAAACTATTAACAAATATACTATATCAAAACAACATTAATAAAATTCTTGATGTTATGTTTACGGTAGATGATAATCCAACCTTCTCTTTACGAATTACGACCCTTAAGAGTAACTCCAGCTTTTTTTTTTAAAGATTTTTTATCGGTCGCTTAAAAATATTAATAAAATTCTTAAAACTTTACAGACTAAGGGGGTGTTTGGCTTAGCTTTTGAGAGGCCAAAAGTCATTTTAGGAAAAGATCAAATGTAAAAGATGTTTGGCAAAAGACTTTTAAAAGCTACTTTTGGATTTTGGATAGAAGGAAAATCAACTTTTTGGAAAAGTCAGGAAAACCTGACTTTTTGCAACTTTTTTCAAAAAGGACTTTTGGCCTCTAAAAAGCTAAGCCAAACACCCCCTAAGTTGATGCAGCAACAAGTCGGACATTTTATTTTATTCTTTTAGCCACGTGACACATTAATTGGGTAAGTAATTCTCTTATATAAAAATTATTATAATATTTCTCTTATATAAAAATTATTATCTAAAACATATAACATTTTCAAATTTAAAAATATATAAAAGTATCAGAACTCATAATTTTTTCCTCGCTTCCTAATGTAAATATGATTCTTTATTTCTAATTTTACTTCAAAATATTTATTTGATAAAAAAATGATTTGAATTGGATTGCTAATGAGAATGAAAATTAAGGTTTAATTGGGTTGCGTAAGTAGAAGAAAAAGAAATTAAAAATTTTAAATGATAGTTGGGTTGTTAAGAGGATTTACTAGTACATCCATTTGTAGACCTATTGTGTTATAAGGGTTGCAACTCCATACTTTTGGTCTAATTAAGAAATATTGATTTGTTTTTTTTTAATAAGTAAATTATACAAAAAAACATGAGTTTTTATTAAAAAAAAATTGATTTTGAGGCTACATTATTTTTTGTTTTAGATCGAACATTGCATTCTTCAAATTCTGTATAATTTTGACAATTTTATCGAAACCCTCCCAAATACATGGTTTGCAATGTTGAGTTGGAAAATGTCATGTCAAAATCATTAAAAAAACATAGTGTTTTTAGAATAAAATTAAAGTGTCAAAGTTAAAAACAAAAGGATAGTAACACCTGAGTGTCTTTTTCTTTTATTGACAAAGAGTGGAAAGATCCATAATGAACAAAGTTGGAAAAAAATATCCATTTAAAACAAAAATAATACAGTACAAAAAAAAATGGTGATGTCTTTTATGTCATTCAAGAAACAAAAATAAACAAATAATAATAATAATAATAATAATAATAATAATAATAAGTAGCAATAGAGTCGATGACACACCCTATCTTTCACCTCGACAAATCAAAACCCGACGCAAGGAAACTCCGAAAATGTCAGTCGAAGAGCATTCATCCAAGGACGTTACATGTATTTGAGGAAGAAGCCGGAGGGAAGGATTGTGTACGCATATTGGAGTGTCTGAGTTCTGGATGGAATGCAAAATAGAGAAGAAAAATCAAGAGATGGACGGAGTCAGTGGTGTAGAAGAAGCATATGACACATATGTAGCACCTGGTTCTTGGTATGTATTTTTATTTAAGTATTTTGCATTTTTGGCCTTGGACTCGGCGAGTTGAAGGACCAACTCGCC